GTTAGAACGAGCCGTTTTAGGGGGGCGTGGCAGAGTCTTAACTTTGATAAAGGATATCTCTTTGGTTTTGAGACTTTAGTCTTTGCAACTTCAGGGCTCTTATCTATGCACAATCAGCTTGTAACACTCCAAAGAGAAAGGAAAACTTGAAATCGCATCATATAACCCCTTTAATCAACGTCACTTATTTGAATTTTCAAACTAATAATCCTATGATGTTGATTCTACATCACTGTTGTTGAATCAATATTGAAATTTTAAAAAGTAATGTTGTTGGACCAATATTACAAGCTGATGTTGATTCTAAATCACATTTGTTAAAATACTGAAAATACAACTGAAATGTCAACATAAACCAATGTTGCCATCTGATGTAGCAATTTGTCAACAACAAAATCAGTTTTGTGAGGTGCCTTCATGCCCAATTAACGCTGCTTGCAAAGTCATTGCCTAATAAGGCAGAGACAACAAGTCAGCAGCCTAAGCTTTCAGACACAGCCAATGTTAGTTCAATTTCCCTGTCTCTATCATGTGTGCTGTCAGCTTTCATCAAAATTTCAATGTCGATCCAACATACTTTAAAAATTGAAATCAGTCTCAACCAAGATGATGAAATGGATGAAAACTCAACGTTGTGTCAATGTCACCTTGCTATCTGGGCAGATACTTCTATTTGTACTTTCTTTTAAGTTTCAGTGCCGCTGTATTATACAAATTTTAAAAATAACATACTGTTAAATTTCACAAAGTTTTGTCATTGAATATAATACGATAGTGGAATTGAACAATAAAAAGGTCATTAGATGTATATCTCACATCAAAACATAATGAGCAGGTAGTTTATGATACGTTTATGTATTTATTTTATGAATTTGTTTTATTTACCTCATGGTGGTGGTGTTCATAGTGATTCACGCCCTGTATCTTATTTCTGATTGGTTAAACCAATGGTGTTACAACTCAGGTCTTGACTTCCTTTAGGTTAGCGCTAAGAACATCAAGCTTAGACATCCATAGGCTTTCTAGTATCCTAGAAGTCATTAGGTGTCTCATATGCAATGAACCGATTGATTATTGTACAGAAATTGATTAGCTGACTTAATTAGAATGGACAGCTGATTTAGCTTTAAAACTGGGGGAAACCTCCCTAAGGAGCATTACATGACTATTAATTAAACACTTAGTTAAACTTAGCTGCCAAAGACATTTTGTACTAATCTAAAAAGAGTCAAAGATAGTGTGCTGGCAGCTGCACCGTTTATGAGGCCTTTTATAGCTATGAGTAATACATTTTCAGTAAAGCTAAGGACGGCGTTATTGTTATACCGCATATGACATTAAGAGCCGGACTACAGTGAAAAATGGCATGAATGGCATATTTAGGGTTTATCCGTTGCTCGCTTTGTATCGAGGGGGATATTGATTTACTGTCATGCAGATGTTGGATAAATGGGGCAACATCTGGATATGACAAAATGACTTATCATAAAACCTCACTCTCATTGGCAGCTGTTAGTTTCACTCCTAACGGCAGCCATTAGCTCACCGTTCTATTCTTTTCATTAATTTATTAATTCAAGTGGCTCTGAGAGCAACTCAAATATATGTCAGAGTTTATGTGGATTCCTGGAAGCCATAGCTATAGTAATAATAATAATATCAGATGCTAATGTGACATTCTTGCTTAATATGGAAATAAATCAATTTAATGATTTTCTGACTTGGCAAAGAAAGTGTCTAATTGAATAGAAAAGAATCATTCTAAACCGAAACAAAAGAGCCATGTGGAGCATCAACCTGATATTTTACATTATCGAAACATACAAATGAGATTATACTAAAATCAGATGAATTGCCCACCAGTTTGCAAAAATGTGAAACATTTGCGAATGAGAATGTTTATTTTCGTGCTTTTTACACAATTTGATTGACCGCATTACTGGAAATGACACACAGACATTTGGTTCACATGATGTTCACCTTGATTTTTCTTTGTTTTCTTCACAGATCACATATTTCATGTCAAGCATATACTTGACACTGGTGTCTCCTTGGTAACCAAATATACAGGATTTTGATAAATAGGATTACAGACAAAGTGGTTGGTTGTGGAGGAAATTATTCCATCAGTCACAATTTGTGTAAAAATGTATGTAAATGTACTTATGCATATATTAAAATGGTGTATCATTGTTTCACTTTGTTTGTTTAGCTTATAATAGTTAAAATCTAATATTTTTGACCATGTGCTTATACAGTATACACTTACAGATTATGATGGAAGTGAACGTTTTCATGTCATTGCATCTCTTTGTATTTATTTGTAATTAATTAGTCAGGGACTGCTGAGTACTTCTTTCTTATGGTTCTTGTATAATATCTGTCCAATGTCACGAGCTGCCAAGTCGAGTTCTTTAGAAGAGCAATATAAATAGCCAATAAAAAATCTCCTCTGTTCTGTACTGACAGTACACTTCAGTTTAAGAAGGAGTTTTTTTAATGTCATGTCCTCCTCCATCAGTATTACTGATTCATTGATCCTTTTCAATGAAAAATAGGCAGTAGGACTGATTGATAGGTTGGGACGGGATGTAACATAGTACAAGGACAAACATGACTAAAGACTAAAAGACACATAAAAGAAACATGAATGGTATTTAATGAATAATTGATATAGACAGCTGCTCTTTGTCTTTGTTTAAAAATAATTAAAAAAAACAATGCTGAAATGAATGAGAACAGGGGCTTATTATTATTAATTCAAACCATGCAATTATGATTTTTTTAAGCATTATTCACATAACTGAAATCAGTGCAATCAGTTTATGCATTTTGTTAAGAATGTGCTGTATGAAGTTGGTTTCAAATTTTCACCCTATATATATATATTGTTATTATTATTTTTTTTGTCTTTGTTGTGAAATCATGTATGCATTCACTCTTCCCCATGTAGAAGATCCCGCTGATAATGCCATATACAGAGCTTGCATGCTGTGATTTTATTGCTGATGTTATCTGAAGTGTTTGGTTTTATCCCAGATAAAGGCGAGAGCGAGAGAAGGAGAGCGCCTTTGTGCGTCCATCACACACACTGACAGCAAGCAGCAGCAGCTCCGTTACAGGCTCGGCGCTAGGATCCGGCGGATCTCTCTCTCTCTCTCTCTCTCTCTCTCTCTCTTCTCCCTGTCTCTCTCTTCCAAGCCTGTTTTAAAGTCTCTGCCAGACTTCAGCTCATGCGCTACTTCCTGGATGGCGGAATGGAAAGCTTCCAGAGCCGCTCCAACTCTTGTCTCTGTGTTTCCAGCCTGATGCATGGACTACTGCTCCTCTAACATCTCTCTCTTAATCCACTGTCCCCTTGACATGCTTCGCTTCTGGACTACAAGCTCAGCCATCTGAAAGAGAGAGAGAAAGAGAAAAGAAAAGAGAAAAAAAAAACTATTTCCTTTGGCTTTTTTCAAAAGAAAAAAAAAATCTCTCCAAAGGACTCACTGAAGGAGGCGGCCGAAATACATTAAAGCGCGTCCAGTGCGCTTGCATTGCTTGTTTGTGGGAGTTTTTTTGTTCACCGGGAGGATAACTCTGTCAACAGTTGCCTTATTTCAGATCTCCATGTATACAGTGTGACATGCGGAGGCTACTGCGACCGCGCTGCTGCTGCTGGTGGATTCCGCCTCTGCTTTTCTCCTCGCTGGTGCTCCGCTGGGCACACTGTCATCCCGGTAAGTTGGATTTTGAGGCCGATAAAAATTATGTTTCAAATCGCTCCATCAAGCGTTATTACCTATTACATTGGCTGCGTAATGTGGGAACAACCCGTGTCCACAGTTAAAACCATGCGAGCGCGAGGCTTTTGTATTGGTGATATTTTTTCCAGTTGTTAATATTGCAATCTCTACCTCTGCTGTTATTTATACGCGCGCGGACCCGTTATTTCTAAACAATACACTCATGTCCGTTGTAAGGAAAGGCATTATACGACGTCTTTCAGCAGGGATTATTATATATTGATTTATTATTTATAATTGTAATTATAATGCACAATAGAGTTAAATCATCGTTAAAGTATAACTTTGCAGCATCTCATTATTTCACGACTTTTTAGGCACTTTCTCTTGGGAAAATACTGTCT